ATGTGCTAGTTTTGTGGTTAAAAGTTTTCCATTATTCAAACTCCCATAAACAAATTTATAAATTATTGTTTTAATACATTAAAAGTACATATCAGCTTTTTACTTAACCTTGCTATTAATTTTAACATGTAAACTTTGTAATCTTTCTTAAAATGAAATTTAAAAATCAAGTCAACAGCTATTTAAAACAGCCACAGTGTTTACTTGAAAGATATCACAAAACCCACTTTTCATCAGCCTGTTACATCTACAGTCAAACCTTCAAGGGTAAAGAAACAGTGTACCAATAACTTGGAGAGAACAGGATACTCATACCTGTATAAGTCACACACATAAAAACTGCATATTCAACATGAAAGTGATATTGATATCAATCGTACCCAGACATATATATATCTCTTATTCAGATTATCTACACATTAACAAAACCTGACATCTATGCATATATTATAAATCTTGTGTTATATGGAAATGACAAACACGTGTGAATACTTTTGAAGTCTAAAGAAAAAGTCAAACATCTTCAAAAAACTTAAACCATTTTTAAAGGCATAAATATCCTTATCAGACATCAAATAAAAGTATGTCTAGTAAAAAATAAATAAAACTTGTATACGCACATGAAAAAATAATAATCCTGTTAATACCTAAGAAACAGACATTGTATAGACTATACCATAAACACTATACACATTTTCACAAGTAGTTCTCAATCACATGAATGTCATATGGCACCATATTGTCTAACCTAGAGTTTTCTTTATCCATTTTTTTAAAAGAAATGAAAAGAATCGTTACATTTCTAGGCTTATAAAGAAATTAATCCATAATTTGTATCTATAATTAAATTAGTTGATAAAACAAAAACATATGAAAACTTTTTTTTTATATTACTCTTCAAATTCAGAGTCAAAGTTTACTCTAAAAATTTTTGTGCAGAACACTTGCATTACAGTTACATTATCGAACCTGAATAATGAGGTTTCAGAATAACACGCATATAATTTAGATGAATATTACATGACATTTAAATACTGATATATATTTTTAGAGATACAGTATTGTGTTTATGTTTATTAACAATAAAATTATAACAGAAAATGATCGAGTTTTTAACAGCGTTCTACAAAAAAACTATAAACTTATAAAACACTACATTAATCGAACTTCGTCTTTTAATCTAAACATAATTTTTCTATGAAAACTAACAACTTTCTTTTAACACATTTTATGTGGTAATTAGGGCTAGTGATGTTCAAGTGGAGCAGTGTTCGCACCTGTAGTGCACATGCAAGTGACGTGTGTTGTCATACACTTCTCATTTTATAATTGAACATTTCTGGAAGTTATGCCATACATTCACAGGCCAGAATGGAATGTTAGAACAATACTAAGTAGAAAAGCAATAACATATTTTTTTTTTTTCCTTTTTTAACAGTTTTGCTGTTGACAACTTAAATGTGTTGTCCAAAATGTTTCATTAAATTTTCTTGATGAAAGTCACCATCTTCCAAATTACTTGACTCCCACTATTATTTATATTCACTGTTAACAAGAAAAAACCTGTAATCCAGAGAACTGAACAAAAAAACTAACCACCACCAAACTAAACTTCCACCACTGACATTCGAAACAATTTACGTAAAATGCTTTAACAAATCTTTATGAACAATGTATATTCTACGTCGTTTCTGAAGAAACACGACGAATAACTACTAACCCATTCTTATTAACATTTCAATCTATTCTATAAAAACTAAGTATTCATCTCCTATCTATCGTGAGACAAATACAACAGGAACCTTCTAATACGTGCCTAACCACACCAACACAGCCGAATTATTTTTTACAGAAACTTCAATGTCTACACTATCAAAAGAGATAGTAAAGTTAACTATAAGTTCTGTAGACACATTTGCTATTGCCCTCTGTTAATATGAACACATATCTGGTCTCTTTGAGAAAGAATAATAAAATGTGTTCAATCTACACATGATAATTTGACAACTTGCTTTTAAAAAATTTTTGCTTCTAATACACAATACGACTGTGAACATATATTATTAGATAAAATTACAATAACATGTTGATTACTAAACCAAGCGTTTTTGCTAAATGGAAAAAAAAAAACAGTTCTGTTACATCTTGCATCTAGTGTATGGACATTCTTTTGCCTGCCACTAGAGTTATACCTGCTAGGTATTGGAAAAACAATAAGAAAACCAGTGTACAAGCTCAGAACTTCTAAAGTACTCGTATATAAAATGTGTAAATGTTTAGATCCTCAAAAAAGTTAATTATCCTGATGTTCTGTTTCATGTATCAAAAAACAGTGATCCCATCGATGCCAGTAAAGACATTCTAAAAATCTACACATCAATAGTAAAAACATCCATCAGTTCTATGAGCACCTGGTAAACTGGGTTTCAAAGGGATTTCACTGTTCCAATCCTGTTTTTTGTTGTTGTTGTTGTTTTGTTTTTTTTTGGGGGGGGGTATTTGTTTTGATTCAGTTGAATGTCGTCAAATTATAAGTATGCCATGTGTTCATCTATATAATAGATAAATTGTCAATAACACTGTAAAAGGATGTTATTTTTAGCATATTATATGTACAACTTTTAAAAGATTCACCCGAGTAAATCATTAAACATATGATGGAGAGAGAGAGATCGAATTTTTCAGTATTTCTTGAGGTATGTACAGGTGACTGACTACAGTTACAAAATGAAAATATTGTCTTACTTCAAAGCTTCAATAAGAAGATTTCAATCAAACTTAGAATAAGTAGAGCAAACAAACACTAAAATGTACATTTTTTTCCCCAGCACTATAATGTCAAATTTTCACATACATGTAAGACTCAATTACAGTGAAATGTTCAGTTTTAATACACTGGACGTACTTTACATATAAACATGAATTAATTTTACTTTTTACCAAAACACTCAGTAGTAAGGAAATCAGTAATAATTCAGCACACCTTTACAACAAATACCTGTATTAATGCATAATAGAGATGTATTATTTTATATGAATTACAAGTGGTTCTGTGGTATCACTTCCATACAACACCTATACCTTTATCAGCTATGAAATAAAACTTGGCACACATCAACATATTAATTAATTTCAAGCCAAAAGTCCGTAAATTGGCCTTTATAATTTAGGGGGGGGGGGGTTTAACTCGGGAATATTATGCACACATATTTGATGATGATGGGGTGTTCACTAAGTCGCTAATAGCTGCATGCAGGGCTGCTACTTTGTCATGCGGGGAATTCAACTTTCCTGCTAAATCATCTATTGCTGAATGCACTGTCTGAACCTTTAAGGTGATATCGTCAATGGGAGGAGGGACACAAGAAGAAGAAAACCCTGGATGTTCAACATAATAGTTCTGTGCCAGAGGACTCATAATGGAACTAATGGGGCTAGTGCTAATGATAGGACTAGAGTTCACATGACCGTACGAAGGAGCTCCCAGAGAAACTTGGAAATGCTGTGCTGAGTGAAGGTAAGAGAATGGTTTATGGTCAGAAGAGAAGTCAGGTGCAGAGTAAGAAGGAAAATAGTTCGATGAAGTGTGAAAAACATCTCCCAGTCTGGAGGACTGAGGAAGTGTGCTCTCTCCGCTGTTCTCCTCTGTTGAGAGGATTGTCTCAGGAACTACTGGAACTGATTGAGTGCCATCTTCTATGCTCTCTACCTCTTCTTCATTAGACCTGTCAGATTCCTGAAGAGGGTCATCTCCTTCATCATCATCTTGAATTTCTCCTTCAGCACTACCATATTTTTTTAATCTTTTAGGAGTGCTTTTTCTTCGTTTAGCTGCTTTAGGCACCAAATCATTTGGTGCTGTCTGGTATTCTTGAGCATCAGTAACGTGTTGACTTGATATTCCAGCATCGTTTGAACCAGAATCAACCTCGTTGCCTGCTACTTCCTTCCGTGACACCACCTCAACACTTCCATGTTTCTCTTTCATGTGTCTCTGTAAGTTACCCTTAAGTGTAAAAGAACTTGCACATATACTACACTTGTGGGGTTTGTTATTTTTGTGAATGGCCATGTGAGCTCGAAGGTTATGAGCTCTGGAGAGTCCTTTTCCACAAATAGAACACGAGTAAGGTTTGACCTCAGAGTGGGAAACCATGTGAGCTCGTAACGTTTGGGCCTGAGTGAACTTCTTTCCACAAACCTCGCAGGTGAATCTCTTGTCAGCACTGTGGATTAACACGTGCCTTTCCATGTTTGCCTTGAGAGAAAAACTTCGTCCGCATATGGGACAAAAGAAAGGTTTAACAGAACTATGCGTAAATCGATGCGCCTTCAAATGATGCTCTTTCATAAACTTCATTCCGCATACAGTACACGAATAACGACGAGTTTGTGTGTGGACAACTATGTGGTCTTTCAGCTGGCTGGGGTACATAAAAACACGCTGACAAACTTCACAGGTGATCTGATTTAATCTTCGGCTCCGACCCCCAGTAGATCCTTCTGTATTATGCGTGTTCTGGTTTTCACCTTCCACGTACGTACCTTCTTGTTTGTGCTTTTCTAAGTGTACTCTTAACTCACTTGGAAAAGCAAATCTTCGATTACATATATGACACTTGTGAAAGTTCCCTCTTTGATGAACTAACATGTGCCGTTTCAGGTGGGCAGCTTGGCAGAACTGTCTCTGGCACGTTGGGCATTCGTGTGGTCTTCTGTCCGAGTGTATTAGTCGATGTGCATTCAGATGACTCTGTTGTTTAAAGGCTTTGTTACACACTTCACAAGTAAACCTTCGCACTCCTGCATGCCCTAGCATGTGAGTCACAAGATTGTGCTTAGCAGTGTACAGCTTTGAACACAAGGTGCACTTCCAACGTTTTTCTCCATTTTCCAAAATAATAAGACTTTGATCCACATTCAGATCTTTTTCTAGATCAATCAAGCTATTTCTTTGATTCCAGTTGTTTCCAGACCTGCCATTTATTGATTGTGGTATATCTATTACTAATGAATTTGAATTTTTGTTGTTTGTTTCTAAGTTTCCAAGTAAAGAATGATCCTCACAATGGGTCAATCCTGGACAATCCATGGTCACTACACAGATTCAATAAAAACCCCATCCCTAATCTTATCTCTTGCTTGTAATGTTCTATTCGCCATCTGGAAGACCAAAAAATAACGTTACACATATTGCTTTAATGATTAACTATAACATCATGATACTATAGATTACCTTAAACTATAACCGAATTTATTACAAAACTTCATATCAACACATCTGTTCTCGAAGTGGTTATTTTCTGATTTAAATAGCACTATGTTGTAAACATTTTAGGAGAGACGCCAGAAAAAAAAAATCTGAATATTACTGAAAGGTATATTTTGTCAAATTGTTTTTTTTTAGTGAAATAAAATTTAATACTCACAATAATACAAGTTCACATCTGACCAATTTAGATTTAGTGATTCAAACCTTGTATATCCAGTTCAGACCACTAAATGTTTCATTTTTGAGTGAAGATAAAAACCAATGTCTAGTCCTATAAGAAACTGTAAATTACTTTATTTCACATAGATTTATGTAGTTAATTATATTTAGCATATTTTCTTGAAAGTTATATCCAAATTTTTATGATGACATATGGGCAATATCACTGATTACCTATGATCAGCAATTAAATTGATTAATGCCACATAAACTAATTGATTAATCAAAGTTAGTGTTTCCATTTTCAATTATTCCAACAACTGATCAATCAAAATTATGATAAATTGTTGGTTACAAAACAAAACAACTGACCAATCAAAATTATGATTAAATTGTTGGTCACAAAACAAAGCAACTGACCAATCAAAATTATGATTAAATTGTTGGTCACAAAACAAAGCAACTGACCAATCAAAATTATGATAAATTGTTGGTCACAAAACAAAGCAACTGACCAATCAAAATTATGATTAAATTGTTGGTCACAAAACAAAGCAACTGACCAATCAAAATTATGATTAGATTGTTGGTCACAAAACAAAGCAACTGACCAATCAAAATTATGATTAAATTGTTGGTCACAAAACAAAGCAACTAATCAAAATTAAAGTTTCTAATTATCATTGTTTGTGATTCTTCTAACATTCAATTAATCAAAATTTAATCATAGTGATTTTAATAAAAAATAATCAACTATTTTTCATTATTTCAGCTAACCAAGTAATCAAAATATTGCTACTATGTTTAAACACAAAGCTACCTAATGGGCTATCCATGATCCATTGTAAGTTGGTTTTTTTTCTCATAAAGTTTGTTCAGCTTTGGGCCAACATGACCTTGTGATTTGTGGGTCTAAGGTTAGATTCCCATCAAACTTGCTTGTCCTGTCTTTGTTATGACAAAACTACCAGAGGTTTCATTAATTTTGAAAGGCCAACTCTTTAATTACAGTTAAATTTACTGTTTTATTACATAATTCATGATTGTGTAACTGTATTCTATAATGCTATATAAGCAGGTGTAAATCTAGGGGTTAAGTCTGGATCCTTTCATTGTTTTTTCAGAAATTAATAATT